CCGAACTGATTAAGACCAACGGGCGCGCCTGAAGCTGGTTCGACCTCTATAGCTACTGAGTCCTCAGAGATCACTGGGAGATTCAGCTTGCCGATCGAGAAGTCCGAGATCTGAACAGCCTTCAAAGCCGCTCCCAAGTCTTCTTCATCTTTTGTCACCCTCTCCAGCTCCTCCTCGACAGTGGTGGTCCCGGCAATGACCTGCTCAAGCATCTCCTTGTTGGCGATGCACTCCTGGAGGTCATACTCGGCCACACCCTCGGCCTTCTTCCTTTCCCACTTCACCCTGAAACCATCGATCACTTCCATGAACCTCCGAGATATCTCTTTTCGGGCCTCACGGCTGGCTTAGCGGATAGCACCCTCACACTCGCGGATCAGTCGGAGGTTTTCCTCCCTCGCGTCTGAGGCTTCATGAAGAGCTTGCATTGTCTCAGCTTGGGCCTTGAAGATCTGGTTGGTGGCAACTTTGAACTTCTCACTATTGTCAACGAGCTCATTCTCGAGTTCGGTGATGTGAGCCTGCTGGCTTCTGAACTGCTGAAGGAGGTTAGTCTGGCGAGCGACCTGCGCATTTGCGGCCTCAAGGTTGGACTTCAGCTTGCCGACTACCTTCCCCATCTCCTCGATCTCCTCCGGACGAGGGATGTCGCCCAGCCTTTGCTCAAGACGGGCATAGACTTGGTTCCCAGCTTCCGCAGCCTGCGAGCATCGAGGAGCAAAACGTTAAGACAAACAACACTTAACCGAACATACAAAGTAAAGGGTACACCATTTACATTTCCCTGGGCCGTCGCCATCTCCACATAGAGCTATCTCTCGGTCATCTTCTTGAGAGCCGGAAGTTGGCACCCAGCAGTCTTGAAGTGATGCCACATGGCCGCCATGCCCTCAGAGTCATCCGTGATCGGATGATCCTTGGTGTGCTCGAACTTCTACTGGAAAATCCGGCTACCCGTCGAGCCACCACTCCCGATAGACGCCGATGGACGCGGCTCTGCAGTTCGACTTCCCCCGTCATCTCTTGGCCTCTTGGAGGCAGGTTGGGATGAGTGTTCAGGCTCCTGGTCATCAACGAAGTGTTGGGTCGTGCCTGAGCTAACAGAGATCGACCCCACTAATTTAGGAGGGGGGTCGGGCTGACGGTCCAGCATCTGCTCAACCTCCTCATCACGGAGGTGAGGTGTGGGAACAACAGTTGAGGCGAGTGCGGCTTCGAGGGCCTCCTTAACACTCCTGGAGCATACCCTGGAGCTGTTAGGACCAGCCGGGGCTTTCTCGGATCTCTGACAGAAGATCGGTTTGCGAGACATAACTGAGCTTGAGCTTGCTGAACTAGAAGCCGGAAGAGAACGGAGAGGAAGAACTCCAGCTGCCAGCAAAACAAACCACTATGCATCACTTCATCTTGATCCAATCAACAAAGGTCGTGACACTAGCTCGACTGAGAAACTTACCAGTTGCGAAACCCAGAGCCGGGGCAGGCGATGAAAGGACTCGTCGAGCACGTTCTCATATGAACATGCTCCAGACAACTTCTCCTCGCCTAAATAACTCTAATCGGTGCTTGATGTCGGGATCCCTTGGTGTTCTGGATAACTGACCTGATAAGCAAAAAAAAAAAAAACAAGGGTTAAAAGCCAGTCGAGCAAAACACAGTTAGTATAGCTAGCAATCGCCTAAGCCTAGCTAAACAACTGCTGCCCGCGAATTCGGTCGGCAGTCGGGCAAAGTCGAAGTTTCCGATGAACCGGAATTTGAACCCGGTTTTCTCCCAACCAGAGTCCTTCTCTGGACTCTCCTCAATGAATCGCCGGTTCGACCTTGGGGACACATAGAAGGTCCTGGGACGACGAGCATTGTATTTAACGGAGAAAAACACCCTCAGGTCCGAGTAGCAAAAGATAACATTCTCCTCTCGGGCCTGCACGTCACATCCGATGATGGCCCAAACCTGATTCGGGCACATCTGCGGGAAAGCCAGTCGTAGGTCTTCCAGCACCTCGAGGATGAACCGAGGGATCAGGAAGAACAGCCGGTAGTCCCGAAAATATGTCGCATACGTGCAACAAAAGCCCGGCTCCACGTTTGTCAGAGTCTCCGCTGACGTCAAAATCGCCAGCTCCATCCCATCGGGGATCTCGCACTCTCGACGGAAGTCGTCGAGAACCTTCTGATCGATTTTGGAGGGACCCGGAACTGCAGCGTTCCTCCCGGAACCTTCTCCTTCAATCTTTATGATCGCCGACATCAAAGAAAAAGAAAAGAGAAGACAAAACCCAGAAAAACCAAAAAAAAAAAAATAGAGGTCAAAGTTTTTGCGAAAAGCAAACGCGAAACTTAGCAAACGATCTCCGGAAAACCTTTCTTTCTCGAGTTAAAAAAAAAAAGAGCGACGATCAGAAGTTGCAGAAAACTAAAAGAGAAAGAAAGAAGAGGAAGTTACCTTTAATCGACGGACGGATGCGGTTAAAAAAGAAGTGGAAAAAGTGGACTTTATATCGAGGTAATTATTATCCATCTCGAAGATCACGGAGAATCTGGCCACGCGCCAATCTCTACCATTCTATCTCCCAATCTCAGTCGTCGAATATTCGACCTCAAAGATTTGACAAGCTGCAGAGCTCGATTAATTAAGGCTGTCAGATCGGCTTTCTCTCTCTCCATCTGGACCTTCCACGTCACAAAACTTCTGCGTGAATCTTCTCGAGAGCTGCATCTTACCCCGAGAAGCTCAACCGCCGAAACAGAAAAGTAAATGACAATATTTACACTGAATCCCAACCGTCCACTTGGACGAGATAATAACAAATTTATCTCAACACGCCAACACGGGAAGCTCGACCACACGATCAGAGAACTGTTCACCTTTCCAAGATCTGAACCGATGATCTCAAATGATTATCTGACTATATGACATCAGCGTAATCGGACACAAAATCTTTCAAAAGTCACATCTTGCCAACACGGGAAGCTCGACCACACGATCAGAGAACTGTTCACCTTTCCAAGATCTGAACCGATGATCTCAAATGATTATCTGACTATATGACGTCAGCGTAATCGGACACAAAATCTTTCAAAAGTCACATCTTGCCGCCCATCAAAGCTCGAGCACGCTCTCGTTAATGGGCTGGGTGCAATTGTTGGAGCTGGATTGAGCACCTTAAATCCAGCCCACTCAAGCCCAAGGGGCAGATCCAAACTAAGCCAAATTGACTGGGCCTTGACCCTACGGCCCAGGCCCATCCACTCTCAACGATCCAATCATGAACAACAACACGTTCCGTTTGACGAGGTCGAGCTCCAGCTCGACCAAATCCCGAGAAGCAAGGAAGGATCCGAGCCACGTCAGAGAATATTCTCGCCAGTTCAAACGAGTCCGAATTACACGGAGAGAGCTGCTGCACGTGGCGAGATTTATGGGTGAAGCTGATGCACGTAGCCGAGATACACGCTGGAGGTTGAAGCTCGACAAGGCGAGCTATATAAAGAAGACAGACAACTTAGTTTAAGGGGGCTCTTTCGGCTGGATCTTCTTCTATACTTTTTACACACAGAAACTCCGTAACCGCTCTCAGAGCTCTTTTCAGTTTATTTCTTTCATAGAAATCTTTGTAACCGTTTTATTCAACCGATTAACATCAAGTCCTTATTTCAGTTAGTGCTAGCTTATATTGTCAATCTGTTCGAGAGAATCTAGCCTTTAATTCTTTTAAACTTCTTTTCTTACAAAACACATTAATTTCTTAGTATGGATTTTTGTATCTACAAAAATGTCTTCATATGAAAGCTCTTGTGTCGTTTTGTTTGATCCCAAGAGTTTTTTTTACGGAGTATGAAATGTCAAGTTTTTTTTAACGAAGTCGAACGAAAGCTCAAGAAAGAAAGACATATGTAGAGTTGATCGAGGTCGAGAAGAACGCACTTTTGAGTTGAAAATATTGATTTCATGTTTTGAGCAAAAAGACTTCGACCTAAGAAAAAAAAAAAAAAAAAAAAAAAAAGAAAGAAGAAGAAGAAGACGACTTCGACCATTTAAATGGAACGTCTTCTTCGTATTAATAAGGAGAAACTTTGGTACAATACCCTAAACCGAACTAAACCGGAACAAATGAACAGTGCCAATAAAGACTCTTGTCGGAAAAAGACTTATCGTCTATCCACCAATTTGCCGTGTTGTGTCGATTCTCTCTAGTAAGCCATATACTCTAGTCGGACAATTTATGCTGATTTTTCCTGGGATATTTGATTGCCGCGAATTTGAGTTTTTTCAGGCGAGATTTTTCTTCGTATATTGGTTTTGTGTGAGGCGTCGTACACCAGAAACTCGTTGGAATTAAACGGAGATGGACTAGTTTTTGTTTGGTTCGCTTCTGTATTTTACTTTCGTGATAATCAGAATCAGATCCTTGAAAAATATTTCCCAGAATTGTGTTTTCGTAATCACACACTGTTGTTAGGTTTCTGTTAATTATGTTTGAGTGATTCCATCGGCTACTCTTTACAATCATGAGCGAAGTGATCAATTGTCAAACCTATATGTTGCTGAAAACGAAATTAAAAAAATCGATTTTGATGCAGAGTTTCCATTATATACCTAAAATTCTCGAATCTGGACTTTGCAGAACAGTGTATTACTCTTCCTGAGATTAATCCGATGATATGACTCGGGAATCGTCAAGGTCGATGTCGATATCTCCGTCAAGGCATAAAAATAGCAGGAGGAGTAGAAGAGACACAAATCGTTCTCCATTCTCATCTTATTCATATAGCAGGTGATTCCGTCTTGCTTCCCTATTCTTCTAACGAATGTAAGAAATGTGCTTTATTCAGTATATCCTTCTCCACTCTTTGATTATGTTTTTTTTTTCCGAAAGAGAAGTGTGTTATCTATCTCGATGTTGCAGGGTTTACACTATCTGTTTGTGGAATAATGTTTCTTTTGGTAAAATCTATCGTAATTAGTTTAGTTGGTGTTACATGTGTCTGTGTGTAACAATGAAGTAAAAAAGAAATGAGCTTTTATGTTTTAGCAATGCAGCCTGCATATTCAATAACACAGAAGTTTAGTTGCTATCTGGTTTTCTAGTGGGTTTTGGGTGTTGATATAGTATTTGTTTGTTGAGTAATAATTCTTATTGAAAATCTTTTGTAATTAGTCTAGTTGTTTGTGGCCTGTGTGTAACAATGTATAGCAAAAAAGACCGGAGCTTTATGTTGTTAAATCATATGTGTTGTTCCTGTTCGTAGTTGTGTAAGTCTTTTGACCAATTATTATGATGTTTCTTTTGAAACGAAGCTTGTTAGCACTTAGCAAGAACATTCCTGAATGCACCACATTGCCTTAAACAATAGAGTGTAATAATTATTGAAGCATAGCTCTTGACGTTATTAAAAGCTCAGTTTCTCTTCATTGTGTGGGGAGAAGAAGTGAGCAGATGGAGGTTCTTTCATTGATCGCTTGTCACGTTAGCTTCTTCATGTTGGTAACGTTGGAGCTGATTATTCTTGACACTGTATGAGGTAACTGCACTTACTTTTGTTAGAATTTAAATTTTGGCAATTATGGATTCTTTGAAATCTATGTAATGAGTACTAATAGACAGTATAATTACTTGTCAAAATCGAAGTTAATTTGAATAAGAAATAAATGGTCAAAATGGATATGTAATCAAGACTAAAAGTCAAGATGTACATTTGTTATATATTGAAAGTATAAGGGCTATTATGCAAAACCATAAAAGAATTTCTTTTTTTGGAATAAATCTTTATTGACTTATTTAATAAAATTGTCAATATTCTATTTATAATTTTGTATAATATCGATAAATCTTTATTGATTGAGTCGAATTATTTTACGGAATATTTTCATTTCTCTTATCCCTATAAAATAAGAAATATAGATTTTTGGAATATTTCTATTTCCTCTCTCAAACAAAGAATAAAGGTTTTCGGAATATTTCCGTTTTTCCTTAACCTTGTCGAATAAGGAACAAAAATATTTGGAATTTTTCCGTTTATCTGCTGTGAGTAATAAGGAAAATTCCTTGTATCACAAACCTCTCTTCCACTATAAATAAGGACCTCTCTCATTCATTATTCTTCATCCAGAAAAGCAATAAGCTTTCAAACACAAAATCCAGCAAATCCCTCTCGTCTCTACAGTCTTAGGTGAGTCTCTAGAGTATAGCGTAGAATATTCAGTTCGCAGATTCTATAGTCGGGTGCTGCGACTTTAGTCTCAACACGGTTGTATCCAGAGATTTTAAATCTCTTCAAACCGCCACACTGCGAGAGATTTAAAGAATTAAGAAAAGAGATCATATCTCGACTTCGTGTATCGTCTTTCCTTAAAAGGTTTTATTAAAATGTTTTATGCTTTTATTATCGTTTATTATTGATTTAAATCGTTTTTATATTCGTGATTTTCAATCTGGATTTTCGCGGTCCTACAATCTTAATTCTTTAAATCCGTTTCCTGATAATCGCTTGAATCGGATTGAATATTGCGAACAATACTTCAAAAACAATTTCATAAAACGATTTTAAAACGTTTTCTGATCGATCTACAACGCTTCTGCGATTGTCTTATAGCCAACCGTATAACGTTTGATTTTAAAAACAGACGATTATCATAAAAGACATAAAACAATTTCCGCGTCAGCCCTAGGCAGGATCGCGAAACGTTTGTCTATAAAGGATCTTATAGATCTGATATATAGCGTTTAAGAACACCTTTAGGTGATTTCTGGGAACGACTATTAGGGTTTAAAAACGCTTTTAGGCGATTTCTGTGAACAAATTAATAGCGAATTAAACGTTTTAATCGCTTATCTGAATTGAGTTCTCAAATCATGTTGAAAGAACAACCGAACCTATTGGCTTAATCCACATTGATTTGTGCGATTTAAAGTACATACAAACAAGGGATGGTAAAAAGTACTTCGTAACTTTCATTGATGATTGCACAAGATACTGTTACGTCTACTTATTGCGAAGTAAAGACGAAGATTTGGAAGAATTCAAAGAGTACAAGCTCGAAGTTGAAATCCAACTGGGAAAAACCATTAAGATGGTTAGAAGTGATAGAGGAGGCGAGTATGATGGACCTTTCAACGCTTTCTGTCAAGAAAAAGGCATCATACATCAAACAATCGCTCCCTACTCACCAGAATCTAACGGAGTTGCAGAGAGAAAGAATCGCACTTTGAAAGAGATGATGAATGCAATATTGCAGAAATCTGGGACACCCCAGAATCTGTGGGGGGAAGCGCTGCTCACCACAAACTACATCCTCAACAAAATTCCACACAAGATTACTTGCAAAATGCCATATGAACTTTGGAAAGGAACTGTACCTTCATACAAATACCTCAAAGTGTGGGGGTGCTTAGCAAAAGTCGTTGTGCCACCTCTTAAGAAGCTGACAATTGGGCCTAAAACGGTTGATTTCATCTTCATCGATATGCACATAATAGTAATGCTTATTGATTCCTAGTACATAAGTCAGATGTACCAGACATCCATGTCAACACGATAATAGAATCTAGGAATGTGTCTTTCTTTGAAAACATCTTTCCATGCAAAGGGAAACAAAGTAAGAAACGCACTCATGATGAAAGAGACGCTAGCATCTCTATAAATGAGGAGAGCACTTCTGGAATTTCAGTTGATGAAGCAGAAGATGAAGAAGATGAACCTAGACGTAGCAAGAGAGCACGCAAGGAAAAATTTTTTGGTGATGATTTATTAATGGTATTTCTCACAGAGAATGAGCCGAGATCATACACAGAAGCCATGTCTACACCTGATGCATCTTTCTGGAAAGAATCAGTTAATAGTGAAATTGATTCTATAATGCAGAATCATACCTATGAGATCACTGATTTACCTCAAGGTTTCAAAGCGCTAGGGTGTAGATGGATATTCAAAACCAAGTTGAAAACTGATGGTTCAATTGAGAAGTACAAGGCCAGATTTGTGGTTCAAGGATTCAGACAAAAAGAAGGTCTAGATTTCTTTGCTACCTATTCTCCAGTAACGAGAATAACTTCAATAAGAATTCTGATAGGAGTTGCAGCCCTAAGAGGACTCGAAACCCATCAGATGGATGTAAAAACGGCCTTTCTAAATGGTGATCTAGAAGAGGCGATTTACATGAAGCAACCCGAAGGATTTGTGATTCCGGGTCAAGAACACAAAGTCTGTAGACTTGTGAAGTCATTGTATGGTCTGAAACAAGCTCCAAAGTAATGGCATGAAAAGTTTGACAATGTAATGATGTCAAATGGTTTCAGCATAAATGAGTGTGATAAGTGCATCTACATCAAAAGTGCTCCTCACAGGTATATCTTGCTGTGTTTATACGTTGATGACATGTTCATCATGGGAAGTAACAATGATATCATCCAACAAACCAAGACAATGCTTAGTGGTCAGTTTGACATGAAAGACATGGGTCTTGTGAATGTTATCTTTGGCATAAAGATTACACGCACCTCTGAAAGCATCACTTTGTCTCAAGGTCATTATGCTGAAAAGATTCTTGAGAGGTTCAAGGCCTACTCAAACGGAACTGCGAAGACTCCCGTGGATTCGTAACTACACTTGACAAAGAACTCTGGTGAAGCTGTTTCACAAGTGGAATATGCAAGGGTCATTGGCAGTCTTATGTACTTAACCAATTGTACACGACCAGACCTTGCACATGCTGTCAAAGTGTTAGGTCGTTACACAAGTAATCCAGGTCATACACACTGGAAAGCCATAACAAGGGTATTAAATTATTTGCGATACACCAAGAGTTATGGGCTGCACTACGGTAAAGAACCAGCATCTTTGGAAGGATACAGTGATGCAAGCTGGATATCAGACTCAAAGAATTCGAAATCCACAAGTGGATACGTCTTTACTCTAGGAGATGCAACAGTATCTTGGAAATCTTCCAAACAAACTCTGTTAGCAAGATCCACAATGGAATCTGAGTTCATAGCGCTAGACAAGGCAGCAGAGGAAGCAGAATGGCTACTGAATTTCCTTGAAGACATCCCCATGTGGGAGAAACCAGTGCCGGCATTACGAGTGCATTGTGATAGTCAATCAGCAATAGCTCGGGCATTGAGTAACCTATACAATGGTAAGTCTCGTCACATCAGAAGGCGACATAAGACCATTAGACATTTGATCTCAACGGGTGTAATCTCGGTCGATTACATCAAGTCAGCTGACAACCTTGCGGATCCATTTACTAAAGGTTTAAATATAGATCAAGTTTTGAAATCATCAAAGGGAATGGGTTTATTGCCTATGACTAAAGAGGATGTTTGATGGAAACCCCACTTATGTGATTGGAGATCCCTAGATCTAAGTTCAAAGGGATAACCAAATCGAACAGAGTCTGATGAAAGCACTGAAAGACATAACGTATGTGCCCATCTCCCAAAACGATGTACAGTGCTCCTTGTAAGTATTAAAGGATAAGTTTTATACTTTTAATGATTTTGAGTAGCTTTCATAATATAGAGTATAACAGGCTACTTGTGTATATGTCAGGAGCTCAAAGAAATCACATAGTGAGTGTGAAATGCAGCCGTTTCTAGGAGGATGAAGACAAGGCTATATCTCCAAGTTCACTCATGACAACCAGGCAAGTTCACGGCCACAATGAACACAATAGAGAACTTAGTTCTACGAGAAGATGAGACTGGGTTGTACCTGTTGTCTAAGTTTCCATAAAAATCCGGGCGGTTCAAGACATCATGTTCACCTCCTGGCCAAGTAAACTCGACAGATATCAACAATGAATAGTTCAAGGCTGAAATATGCTAATATATCATACACAGTTAATTTTTCGTCTATACTCTCGAAAAGTCCTAGTGCCAAGTCCTAGTGTGTCTACATAGTCTTTCGAGTTAGTAGAGTCTGCATATGTTTTAGAGTAATTTTTATTCATGGGGGATTGTTGGAACTTAAATTTTGGCAATTATGGATTCTTTGAAATCTTTGTAATAAGCACTAATAGACAGTGTAATTACTTGTCAAAATCGAAGTTAATTTGAATAAGAAATAAATGGTCAAAGTGGATATGTAATCAAGACTAAAAGTCAAGATGTGCATTTGTTATATATTGGAAGTATAAGGGCTATTATGCAAAACCATAAAAGAATTTTTTTTTTTTGGAATAAATCTTTATTGACTTATTTAATAAAATTATCAATATTCTATTTATAATTTTGTATAATATCGATAAATCTTTATTGATTGAGTCGAATTATTTTACGGAATATTTCTATTTCTCTTATCTTTGTAAAATAAGAAATATAGATTTTTGGAATATTTATGTTTCCTCTGTCAAACAAGGAATAAAGGTTTTCGGAATATTTCCGTTTTTCCTTAACCTTGTCGAATAAGGAACAAAAATATTCGGAATATATCTGTTTATCTGCTGTGAGTAATAAGGAAAATTCCTTGTATCACAAACCTCTCTTCCACTATAAATAAGGACCTCACTCATTCATTATTCTTCATCCAGAAAAGCAATAAGCTTTCAAACACAAAATCCAGCAAATCCCTCTCGTCTCTACAGTCTTAGGTGAGTCTCTAGAGTATAGCGTAGAATATTCAGTTCGCAGATTCTATAGTCGGGTGCTGCGACTTTAGTCTCAACACGGTTGTATCCTGGGATTCTGAATCTCTTCAAACCGTCACATTCCGGGAGATTTAAAGAATTAAGAAAAGAGATCATATCTCGACTCCGTGTATCGTCTTTCCTTAAAAGGTTTTATTAAAATGTTTTATGCTTTTATTATCGTTTATTATTGATTTAAATCTTTTTTATATTCGTAATTTTCAGTCTGGATTTTCGCGGTCCTACAACTTTTGTTTTGGATATGAGAACTGTTGGGCTACATGTTACCTTATCTTCATATGCGTGGTGGTTCGTTTGCTTTAAGCTTTTGCTTATCGATTTTTAGTTTTGGGTATTGTACAGACGAAAAAGTCGTTCTTTATCACATAGGCGCCATAGGAATCGATCTCTTACTCCTAGGCGAGATTCTTCAACTCCAAGACGTTACAAAAGGCCAAGGAGCAGGAGTAGGAGCCCTTCTCTATCTCCTGACAAAAGATCTCCCGCCACAACTGTTGGGTCTGCAGAACCTAAAAGAGTAGAGGAAGAGAAGAAAAGGTATAGTGATTCAAAAGAAAAAAACTTATAACAGTGTGGAAGCATGCTCTTAAATGTGACTCTTGTATAAAATTGAAGTACTTGATGACAGTCATCTAAGTGTAGCAAGTTTCATGGCATTCTCCCAGAGGCTTCGCCTTAAGGAAGCTATTGCTATAGTTCAACTTGTTTTGTATTCGACACTCTGATTCGAAATCTCATTTCCACGAGTTCTGAAAATCGGTTATATGTATCAAAATTCAGTTAAAGATACATCAAACAAAGAAACATGCTTGTATGACACAATTGGTCAATGAATGTTCTGGAACTTGGAATAGTTTTCCGATTCTTTTGCTCATCAAGATTTGAAGACATGAGGAAATGAGATGGTTCAAGTGATAATATTTAAAGGTTCTAAATCTGTTTGTGGGTGTTCTCTAACTATTTTTGTATTTGTTTCAAGGCGTCAAAGGGAAGCAGAGGAACTGAAGCTAATAGAGGAAGAACTTTGAAAAGGATTGAAGAAGCTGTTACGAAAAAGGGTAAGGAAATCTTACAGATTTCGGAAATCAAAATGGAAATTCAAAGGCGGTTAGAGGAAGAGGAGGCAAGAGACTTCATGAAGAAGTAGCTGCACAACTTGAGAAGGAGAAGGACAATTCTGTTACCGAAACTAAAGAAAAAGAGTAATGTCATCGTAGAAACACCATCTTCACATCGAAGAAAGTTAATGATGTTGCTCAAACAGATTCTTGATTCTTGAGCAACATTTTCACATATGAACCGTTTCTCTTGATGATTTCAATGGATTCAACTTGGCTATCGTATCAGTGTGAATCTGTTTTGTCATAGTACATTGTTGAGAAAAAAAAAGAGTTTTTCTTCAGTGGGTCATACGATGTTTGTTACAGGAGAGAACACAAAGAGAGAGAGAGAGAGGAACTGGAGAGAATAGAAGAAGAGAACAGAATGAAAGTTGAAGAAGCTAAGAGGAAAGAAGCGATGGAGAGGCAGAGGAAAGAGGAGGAACGGTATCGAGACCTCGAGGAGCTGCAACTACAAATTGAAGAAGAAGAAGAGCGTCTCAAACAGATGAAACTCTTGGGCAAGAACAAATCTCGACCCAAGTTATCCTTTGCATTTGACTCCAAATGAAAATACTGAAAGAGATAAAATATCAGTAATTAGTTATCATGTTGTTTGCATCTAGTGGTAACTCAAACTGGAATTTCAAATTTGTATTCTTATTTACTAGTTTGGAAATTGGAGTCAAAGGTATCAACCTAATTTATTTACTTTTGTGTATCTAAATTAACAATGTGACTCCTTAAAAGGACTGAAATTTAAAAATTGCACGGCATTGTGTTGATCTGTTCTAATTTTTGAAATTCCATAAACTGGTAGAGGTTCTACACCAACAGCTGCCAAAGATGTCTGACTTTCTTCACAATTGAGCTTATTACTGGATATAAAAATTCCTAGTGAAACCTCAAACATGGATCATCAAATGGCCATCAATACTGGTGTACAAGGTCTCACGAAATACCATTTGATTCACCTGAGGTAAGCTTGCTTTCGCGTAAAATCATCAACCTTTCAAAGTTACTGTTAGAGATGAAAACTGGAGAGAGAGAGAAAACATATACAAAAAGTAATTTTCTTTGATGTACCTGCCTTTGTAACAACATGAAGGTATTTATTTTGTCGATACATTCAGTCTAATGGCAAAAATAACTAACTGTCTCTGCAAAAAAAATGAGTTTAACTCATCAATTAGATATATACAAAGCTTTTTTAATGGTGATCTTGATGAAGAGATATACATGATTTTACCACCTGGTTATATTTCAAAATAAGGCAGGTACATCTCTTCCTTGGAATCGACTATACAAGCCAAACAAGTCCCTCTATGATTTGAAATATGCTTCTCGGCAATGGTTACTCAAATTCAGCTCGATTTTGACATCTCTTAGATTTTAAAATTCACATGCAGATCATACACTCTTCATCATACACATTAAAAAAAAAGTAGAAAATACAAATTTTGCACAAATAATGTGCTGTCATCAAATGAATAGTTTGCAGCACCAAATAGGCAAGAGGAGGGATAAGTCAAGTTTTGATAGGTTGTTGTGTTAATTCACTATTGGGTTTTAGAATTGTAACGGATCAAAGACATTTTTTTTTCATTTTAAAATTTGGATTGATCAAGAAAGAATGAAGAGAAATTGTATTTTAATCCGTTAATACAATTCTAAAAGCATAGTGAAAATCGAGATAATGTATTGTATTAATGGATCAGAACATATTTTTTTATTATTATTATTATTATTACTAGGGTTTGTTGATCAATCGCTTTGAATGGTTATCTCATTGCTCTCAATACTTGATAAACTGTATGAGAGAACACTACTTTGAAAAACATCCGGCTCCATTATGGGATGTGGCTTTGAAGAAACCGAAGAGTATATCTTTGAAACCATGGAAGCGTTTTTGAACAAGACTGTTCTTTGACATTCTCTCAATTCTCTCAAGCATTGCTCTCAATACTTGATAAACTGTATGAGAGAATACTACTTTGAAAAACATCCGGCTCAATTATGGGATGTGGCTTTGAAGAAACCGAAGAGTATCTCTTTGAAACCATGGAAGCGTTTTTGAACAAGACTGTTCTTTGACATTCTTGATTATACAACAAATGTGTAAATACTTTTGATTTTGTTTTTTTGTGTAAGTTGACAATATTTTTTTAAACTTATTATATCATAAAATAAAATTTATTTAAATAACTATATTAAATTATATAAAAAAAATTAGTGGCTAACTTAATTTCAACAAACCATTAAAGAATAGAGCATTGTAACTTTGTCTACTAATTGTTTCATATCTTTCAATATTCATTAGCATATTCACATATTCTAAAATTCTATAACAACAACTTTTTTAAAAAAAAATTGATATTAAAATTATATACTATATCATTACAATTATCTAAATAAAATCAAGAAAAAATGTAAATAGCCTGCATTATTTATTTTTAATGGACATCCTAAAACAATAAAATCTATATAATAAGAATTTATAATAACACATCTAAGACTTAAGCCCATAACAATAACAATTAAAATTATTACCTTATTGGTTATAAAATTCTGGGATTAGTATAATTTTATTTTCATTATATTTGTTTTTTTGCATTATAAAAATATTTGTTTTAGTTTTTTGAAGTCCTGGAATCTTCTGTAATCTATATATAATTAGAGTAACATAAATTATCATATTAAAGTTCTAAGCATTTTAAATTATTTTTTGTTCAAAAAATCGTAATAAATGAGTAACACTAATATAAAAATAGATAAATAATATACAATCTTTCAATATATTTACCTTTTTTGTTTTGTAGAAAAACTATGAAAAATAGATAATGAAGAGACGACACTTTGACTAGGAAAGTACTATTTGCTCGAACATGACTAACAGCAAATTTTAAGATCAACTACTAATATATCTATTTAATTTAGAACATGACTGTTACAAAAATAACTCAAATCTATTTTACTAAAACAAGATAAATAAAAATGGTTTATGCAAATACTGAAGCTCAGCGAACTTAGGAATAACAATGTCTCCTCTTGAAGCCGAAGAAAAAGTCTTATTGGTATCTCTCCAAAATGTTTGCATAATTCTTTTTATTCTGCTTGTGTCCATATACCTTTGTAGCTCAATAACATTTTTATTTTGGATTGTAATCCTTCGTAATTAGTATATATCTTTAAAAGTAAAAATGATGGGTTATATATTGATTTTTAAAGTGAAAAGTTATAATGATTAGAATAAAAACTTTTAAAATGTTAAAGAATCACAATAATTCACAAGAGTTACAATTTTTCCATTGTGTATATGTTCTGTAGATATAATAAATCATTTTTTACAATTAAATCTTAAAATAAAAATTATTAACCATTAGATTGATGTACTTTTTAACAATAAAAATGAAAAATCATAATGGTTTATAAAAGTTGCAATATTTCAACTATGTATTTGTTTGATAAATAAAACAAATATAATATTTACTGTTTAATAATAATAATAATTAATTTTTAACTTTAGATTAAATCTATATCTTTTTTTTACAAAAAAATAATATCTGCAAATACATCTGAACCATTAAATTTTCAAATCTAAACTAATAAAAACAATCTTAACCGTTGAATTTGTCGTTTTTCCTATTAAAAATAATAACATCAGCATTTTTCAAAAAAAGATATTTTGCTAATATATGTAGATTATAAAAATTCTGTTATAGTTAAATTGGTTAATCATTTGGTGTTAATGTGTACACGTACATTGTATTAACGGATCATTTGGTTGTTATGTATCGCTATCAACTAGTGTGTATAAGTGTGTGTATTACTTCAAGAAACAAATTAGTTAATTTTGATTCGATTTGATAATCTAATCTGACTGGTTTAAATACAGTGGTTGCGGTTGCAAATGCAAAAATTTGCGAAAGCAGATGTGGTTAACAGCATTAATTAGCAGTTTGTACGATTGATATTGTAATTAAGAACATATGTATCTACCGTACATTTTTAACTAGTAGATCAACGGATACAAAAGCGATTATACAGCAAAATAACAATATAAATATATTATATAATTAAAAAATAACAAATATATTATTATTAAAAAATAAAAAAATACAAATTTAATATAATAAATACTAAAAATTATAAGAATACTATATGCATAATACTTACATTTATTTCTTGTTTTGGTTTAGATAAAATTATGATTAATAAAATATTAAAACTATTTTAGTTATTAGATATATATATAATTATTAGTGGTAAAAGATAAATTATCTAAATTTTTGTGTTTAAAGATTTTATAAATATAAAATTATGATTAATAGTTAATGAATATCATTTCTAAAGAATAAAATACTTAACTAATATTACTTCAAAAAGTATCAAATTTATTTATATATTTTGTAATTATAATATTTAAAAGTTATTTTATGAAAAAATGTTATATATCTTCGTTGTCTTTTACCTTTTTTCTCGGTTATGAATTTCTAAAAAAATAAATAAATCAGCCCATTAAAAAGGGAATAAAGAAAAAAAGTTGGCGTACTTACTAAAGTTATAAAAAATGGTAATTGAGAACAAAGCCCATTTATGGTAATATTCTGAATATAAAATAAAATCAATGAAAAAAAAGATAGAAACGAATAGTACGTATAAAAAAAGTAAGAGAGATGATGAGCATGCAATGATACAAAGAATCACTTACTCTGCGTAATTCGCTTTCTCTTTCTAACGATATATCAACATGGGAGGCTTAAAACGTAAAATAAAGATTGAGAAGGTCGAAAATAAATCAATAAAATCGGTGTATTTTACCAAACGACGTGACGGTCTCTTCCGCAAAGCTTCTGAGCTCTGTCGTCTCTCACCGGCGACTCAAATCGCAATCTTAGCGACTCCTCCTTCTTCCAATTCTCACGCTTCCTTCTACACTTTTGGTCATTCCTCTGTGGACCACGTTGTCTCATCTTTGCTTAACGACCAGTCACCTTTTCAGACAAACCAAGGGAACAGGTCAGGATTAGGGTATTGGTGGGAAGACGAAGGTCTTGACAGATCAGAGAACGTAGACGAGTTGAAGGATGCGACTGAAGCGATTACGAGGATGGTGAGCAATCTGAGGCTCAGAGTAGATACCGTGATGGAAAAGTAAACAGATGTAGGTTTAGGGATTCATGAGGAGGATGAGATTTATCGACTTTGCATCACAGAGACGAACAACAACAACAACGACGAGACAACGACGAATCAAATTCCCGAGTTGGATCTTGATGAGTTTCTAGATGATGTCATGAATTATCCACTTTGATTATTTGACGGTCTTTTTTGCATTGAGTTAATTTCTATTCTAGAGGTGTTTTTCTTTATTTTAGTTTTTTTTTTATAGAGATTTCGGGTTCGGAATATATAATGATACAAAACTAAAACCACATTGCAATAGCAATGCTTAGCCGTTTAGATGATTTCTTTTTGGAATTTTAATTTTATTCCGAAAATATTAGTACAAAATCTATCCTCAACCCAAACCTAACAATAGCTTAATGGTGAGTCTCATGGAGAGAGTGGCACAGATCTATTTATAACAATAATACAAGAAAGCTTGTTGAAGTATATAAGAATCCTAAATGTTAGTGTACATAAGGACGAAGAACATTACGAGTATTTAGAAAAGAATATCCACCGAGTCAATCCATGAACCATTTGACCCAAAGGTAAGAAGATCGAGGAATGGTCCGTTGATCTCTCTCGCTCTCTCTCTCTCTCTCTCTCTCTTTATGCTTTTTCAGGGAACACCTTAAGGAGGAAATCGGTGAACCGTTTAGAGTAAAGCGTAGGCTCGATGGCTGAAATCGTCATTGGATCATACTGCATTGATTTGCAAGTATGTTCCATTTTCTTCTTCATATTGTACTCTTGCAAGATGTCGATGATGCCCATGTACACAACCACGTCGTATACTTCAAAAAGCTCCACCATTCCTGCGTCTTCCTCCTCTTGACGGAGTTTATGGTGGGCTTGAGCCGGCATGTTCACTCCTAACTGTACCCGGAGCCTGAGTTTTTTAATTGCAAAAGGTATATGGTTCGTGTCAAAATTGATAACGAAAAGATCAGCTATTGTTTCAGTTGTTATGTGACTGACCTTGCAGTTCCAGGTAGAATGAGATCAACTTCTTTCTCGCCGGCGGAGAATGCTCGTAGCGTGCTTCCTCTGATGTGAGGACCCGGGGCGGTATTAACGGAATTGGGTTCGTGAGTAACCAGTAACAGTCCTTTTGGTGGAATCGAGGGTTCACGAGGCACACCAACTGATGAAACACAAAGCAATACAAATCAATGACGTTTATTCTTAGTTTACGTAAGTTTTGGATAGTTTTTACAGTTGTACGTGTGAGCATACCTTCAACAGAAGCAACACTATCACTTTCTTGATCTGACATTTCATTGGGAGGCTCTAGGATATCATTAAGTTGATCGGGAGCTCTAAAATGTAATCCCAACAGAAGACTGTAATCGATGATTTGCAGAGATTCCAAGAACGAGCAGTCTAACAAAATTTGCCTGCCAGTTTTGGAAACAGAGAGGTTTCACAAAAGTTAGGCAAATACAAATGCCAAACTACAGCAATTAGGAGTATTACGTTAATGGAAAACAGGAGAAGCATCAAACAAAAAATTCACTAGCGAAAATAAACTTGAAGCCAGGCAGAGAAGAGCAGAGAGCAAACATCTTATTTCTAAAGGATTATGTGGAGACAGCAGTGAAAGTAAGAATTTTGGTATAACCTCTTCTCTGCAGCTAATTTTTCTATTCTCTTAATTATTCAAAATAAATGCATTTACAAAATCATTAGGATTCAAGGGTTCTAGGTATAGAAAAATTAGTAAGTGCTTTAGTTCTCTAAATATCAACCAAGTCTTGAAGAAATGGATCTAATGAGTTTAAGCAACAATGAGAACTTACTCTCCTGAAAAGATCTACAATTCGTCAATTCCTATATGGATACGATTTCCAAAAGGGATAAAAACATAAATATCCCGCGCATATTCAACGGACAATAAGATGTGATCATGAGATGTTCCCAGAAACAGTAAGCGGTTGCAGCAAGCATACGTATTTGGAAACTCACATGGCACCTAAACCCTAAACCTATAGGTTGAGTAGCCAAAATGACTAAAATGTATCACTCAGATGACATGTATAGCATATTTTTCACCGAGGATGGAAACGATTATTAAAAGATTGAGTAGAGAACTCACTTAAAGAGCTCCTCTCGCAGCAGCTTGTCCATATGAAACTCATAAGCTAGATCAAGATCTTTCATGGTAGTCTTTTCTCTGATTTTATTCTTTTCCGTAAATCTCCCTTGAGTAGAGCCCTTAAGGTCATACCGGCGATGAATCTTCAACTCTGTGCAAAACATATTCCCCATGACCACAAAGCGTACCTATCAGAGAATAACAACGCTCATGCTAAAAGAAATGGAATATGATAGATCTAAAACATAGAAGAGATCAGACAAGTTCTTACCTTTTTACCCCATTTGAGTTTTAATCTGTGAACTCCAAAAAATTTCGTAATGAGCGTATTTTCATGGTCCCCTACATGTTCATAGTACCTAGGCAACATTCTGAGTAGAACCTACAAGAAAAAAAGAGATGCTCTCAGTCCTAATATATATACCAGAGATGTTTCTACGTTACAAAACAAAAATGCTGTGATATATTAAGAACAATATATAGAGGTAAAGAAAAAGACTAGACTATAAGCATCATCAGAAGGGGAACAAGTAAAACCAACGGGAACAAGAATCAGATCTCATAACCAAAAACTAAAAAAGCCTCACAAAACTCCCCAAAACACTATTATGCGTAAGGACACGCAAGAAAATGATATAAGAGCTTAGTTAAGTTATATCAAACCTTCAACTCAGATCTTTTTAGTGTCTTTATCACAAATCTGTCGTCGTGAGAAAGGTAGAAGATACTGCCACTTTTCCCAGGGGAGGAAATTTCCCTCAGACCATCATCACCACAGATAGACATCATGTAGTCTGCAGCATCTAGTTTGAACATCTCCCTTAAATTCCTGTGACATGCCATCGAAAAACATCCATAGTAAATATAAGTACTCTTGAGTACACTATGAGTAAAGGATTCCACTTAATTACTGTCAAAGGGTAGGAGCTTAAGGTGTTGAAAAAAGCATCATCCGCCCATAAATTATTGGTTTAACTCATTTAATCGATCTACATGTGGTCATGATTATTCCTTTTAAAATTACTACCTTTTTTGGTTAAATGATATCAGAAAAGCCATGACCATGAAGAGATCCTTAAGGAAAGAAAATGATCCAATAAAGACCAATAATTTAGAGACCTCGCAAACACTGCGAAGTTCGAAAGTATTTCCAGAATTTATAGACGTATTGATAGAAACCTATTATGCTATTGTTTTTTTTATTCCAAGCTTTTTGGTATATGGCCGAAGAAAACCGGTTTACCTGAAAACCATAGGGCAATAGTCTTTCCAATCGAAATCAATGGACTTATGTGGAGGCGTATACTGGGAACCACCTCTAGGGAAGAACATCATGATTCTGGCTCTTTCACCAAAGTCAGAAGCGCGAACTTCCCGCCGAGGCACTGGCGTGATTTTTCCAACAGTATACCTGTGAACTTCAAATGTTATGTTGTGTAAGAGGAACAACTAGTATGCAGAAACAACTGAGCAATCTCAAGATCATATGAGAACTGAAGAACATGTTCAGAAGTTTTTTAAAAGAAGCTCTCGTCATTTTGAATAGCAAGTGTTTGTTAAACTATTACATAAACTTCCACAAAGATAAATGAAACTGTGCCTTGATCTTGTTTACCTGATACCGAGTTGGAGATTAAGCATTAGATAGTAGTTCCATTTTTCCCCCAGAAAGGACACACAAGCGCTAATCGTGATCTCTTTAGTACGATCCAAAGGTCTTGCCCTGTGTGACATGTCAATAGAACTCATAATCCGTTCTTTAATCAAAACCCCTTGCATGTACTCCCTTTCAAAAACGATAGGGTTCTTGTCTTTCTCTCGTGCCTCGCTTTGACCAGAGTCTACAGACCGTGCAGACTTGGACGAGGGACCATGATGCATAAAATCTCTAGGAGGATCACTTGTAGTCCAATTCTCATCAAGAAACCTCTCCGACATCCTCCCTGAGTTTCTCGCCACTCCACTTGTTGTTGTTATCTCAGAGAGACTTCGCGAAACAGCCTTTGAAGCCCGTAGCTCCTCACGGTTTATCGATGAATCATGAGAGAGCACAAAATTCCCCGTGTCATCGTAACCAAAAGACCTATGCCACTTCTTCAGAGACGGGTGTTTACTCCCAGCAGGATAAAACACTCCACTCCCATCTTTTAGTCCACGTGACCATGTCCCGAAGTAAAAACCGCCGCCATCAGCATACTTATAAACCCCAGAGCCATGTCTAAGACCATTCAACCAAAACCCGTTGAAGAGATCACCATTTGCCCAGCTCATAACCCCTCTCCCAGACATTTTACCCTTTTTCCAGTTCCCAATGAACCTGTTTCCGTTAGTCCAAGTATAACTACCACTCCCATCCTGTAATCCTTCTTTCCACGAGCCATCGTATGAATCTGAGTTACAATACTCTTTCCTTCCTAGACCGTGCCGCACATTCATCCTCCATGCTCCACTGTAGACAGATCCGTCAGGGGAAGTCATGGTGCCAAAGCCGTGAAGGTATCCTCCAGAGAAATCACCTTCGTATTTAGCTCCCGATGACCATATAAGCTTCCCTTTCCCTGATATCTTCCCTTCTTCCCAATCACCTTCGTAGATGATTCCATCGGACCATACATACTTTCCCTTCCCATTAGGAAGTGTTCCTTTGAGTTGACCAGAATAAACATCACCATTTGAGAATCCTCTCTCTCCAGGCCTGAGGGAAAACACACAAAAGTACACTCCAGATCTAAGAACTCTTAACAAATGCTAAAATGAATGAAAGATTTGTTGAAAAAAGAAGAAAAACACACCTCGTTTCCATCTTTACAAGCACCTGGTGATTTTAAAACACTGTATCCAGCCTTACATTTGATGCATTACCAAAACTCTGAGTCACATTAGAGAGAAACCAAGCCACGAGGATTTTCGTGGAGTTTCCTTGATTTAAACTCAGATCGTTCATAGATTCTGATTCCTTTCTATTTAGCAAAAATCTTCAGATGCTCGATCATAATTTTCCACACAATGTGCTGAAAACGACAGATTCTCCTCGAATCTGGCATTCACCTGTCACAGCATCCATAGCATAAATTCAGATTCAATTAAAATTAGGTTCAAAACGATAAAGCTAATCAATGGTTTCAAACATGGAAATCCGATTTTTGATTGAGACATTGACCGCCAAAATACCCAAACCATGAGCGCATTGCAACTCCACCCAGAACTCAATACAAAGGTCTCAGGCGAATTATAGCGAGACTAATGAAATAGCTCGTGCATAGGCTTAGTCCAATTGGTTAATTCATACAAGTAAATAGAGAAAGAGAACAAAATCATTGAAATTAAGTAAGAATACTACGCAGGAACTAAGAAATCTCGAGTTTTCTAAAGTCACAGAAAAAATGACTTTACGAGCTACAATACGATAGATTTCGAGAGACAAACAAACCAAATTCACAAGGAAAGTAATTCGAAAATCGACTCGATTCGCAGAAAACTCACCGAAATGGACCTTAGAATCTCCCTGAAAGCTCGAGAAGAAGAAGAATAAGAAGAAGAAGAAGAAGAAGAAGCAGAAGGAAGAAGCAGAAGGAAGAAGGTGGAGAAGGAAACCTAGATTGAGCAAAGGATGATGACTATTCTTCGTTGTTGCTTCAATCGGAGAAATTCTTCTTGTATAAATGTTGTGTTGCCCATGCACGAAGGTCGTCTCTCAGTCTCAGAGTCTTCTTTTTTAGCGAATTTTCCGATCTGTTTTTTTGTTTTTTTTTTCATCTTGTAAAAATTTTAAAAAGTTATATTAATTTTCTGTTTTGGCCCCCACATTCTCTGTTTTCCATTTTTGCGATTGTACGGCTCAAACTGAAAATGCCTAAAAGATATTAAAAAAAAAACTGATGATAATCATATGTTCTTGTTCTTTATTTTATTAAACACCTGGTAAATTATACAGTATTGGGGTTTATTACTTCTCTAATCTTTGACTGGAAAATATTTTCCAAGTGAATATTATCTGTTTCTTTTTTTCCACATATGTTAAACGTTTCTAAATAAATGTTTTTAGTCAAACAATACTTTTGGAATGCAAACTAGAGTAATGAAAATTAATATAAAATGTTTATTTGTTATCTATAGTCATCTTACAAGGTAGTAAAGTTTAATAAAATGATGGTAATTTAGTGCTATAAATCTGTTTATCAAAATTAAATTAAATAGTATATAACATGCATTATGCGAATTAAAATTTGGGTGACAACACAACAACTACATTACTACATACAAATCAGAATATGTGGATTTACATCATTATTTATGATTAAAATAGTACTGTGATTATTGAGATTTTTTATGTGATGTAAACAGTTTGATAAGATTGTTGATCCATTTTACATCTAGACAGCTATTTTATGATATAGTTGAAAACTTTATTTTAAATTTGAAAGACTAAGATTATGATCATCACACTGCTATTTTAATTATGAATGGTCACTATATATAGAAGTTTCAAATGATAAAAATATTCGTTTTCTTACGAACTCTTGAAATCAATTGAATTTTGATTGAATAAAATCTTTAATTATAAAACGAAAATAGAAAAACTGTTTGATTCAAACAAAGCGTGGGACAAAAAATAAAATAAAGGTGATGCATAGTAGTCAGTTTTTTGGCTGATGTCAACGAACATTAGCCAGTTTTATTAGGCCAGATTTTGAGATTAGTTTTCTACTTCTGATCCTAAGCAACCTCCTATAATATATTTTTAACAAAAATTCCACTAGAGTCAAATTGAGACGTTCACTATTTTGTTTGTCTTATTAGATCACTTTAATTAACTCAGATAAATCAATAATTGGAACAACACAAACATTTGTTTAAGACTTTTGTACATGGGTTAGCACAGTTATTTTATTACAATTTTCTAAGCGTGTTCTACACCATGCGTCACACCTACGCAGAATACAATTCCATTGAATATTGCAATGATATTTTTTGGCCTTTGACTTTTTTTATAAGATTGATATCAGCCTATTATCATGAAAGAAACATTCAATGCGATCTCACGATTCGAATATGATCTTACGTATATTTTCCACTATATTGTATGTTGCATGCATATGTAGACGTTAGGTAGTTCTTCTTTTTTTGTCAACAAACGGTAGGTACTTATTAGGTTCATTTTAGATAAAAAATTTGCAGTTAATTTTCTAAAGCTATTCTTTGGACTTGATTAAATATTATATGCCGTAGAATATCTTCAAAGGCATATCGTTTGCTACCATGAGACATCTAATCTTTGCTACCATTTCTAGTTTCGTCATTTCATTCGATTCTTTTAATTCTTTCAACCACAATTCATAATAGTTGCATTTCATCATCTACCTTACCTATTAATTGAGAATGTAGTTTAATAAAAAATACTGATTTGTTTTAATTTGATTGGTTAAAATCCTTTCTCTATCCTAATTAAATGTGACATGGAAATGATGATGTAATGATGATGTAATTGTAACATGACATTTACTAACACATGTGGTTTATGACATGGCAAAAAGATTTTTTGTGATATTTTTATTAATAAAAAATTTAATTAGATGACAAAATTTAGTGTACTAATAACTAAATATGGAATGATTCGCCAGATGCATTACGAATAGCCTGATATTATTATTCATCTATATGGGTAATAGTAGATGAACTTTGGGTTAAACGTGATGATTTTAATACATATATATATAATATTATGGATAATATTATATTATATATATTAAATTTACTATAGCTCTGTCGGAGACCACAATAACTTTCAATATAGATACACACTAGGTTGCATGGAAACTCCGTTCGAGGTACGTTTTCTGCTTCCGAAACGTTTCAGAAACCAAAACTCTCGAAAACTCGTCGGAAACACGAAAAATCACGTTTCCTAAAAATTCTAATTTGGTAACACTTTGGAAACGTGTTTCCATTTTAGAAACACGCGTTTCCATTTTGAAAAGAAGATAAAAACTAATTTCTTATTTTTATATAACAAATAAATAATTATAAAAATTAAATTAAATAATCGATTTACTTATTTGTAGTAAATAATAAATATTTTAATTTGGAAATTAAAATTAATTTTGAGATTATTAAATTTGAAAATTATTCTCTGGATGAATTATAATTAGAGATAGATTGGTTAATGAAACTAATAAAATTTATAATAAAGAAAATCTTCTAAATTTTTGACTTTACATATTTTAATTTTTATAGTTTAATAATTATGTAAAAATTATATACTGGATTTTATGGATTTAAATATTCTACTTATAATTAGATCTTTAATATTTAATATAATATATATATACGTTTCCAAAACGTTTCCATTTCTATATTTTTTTAAAAATAGTATTTTCGCGTTTCGAAACGTTCCGCTTCCACGTACCCATTTCCGTTTCCATGCAACATAGGATATATATATATATATATATTTTAATATTATATTTATATGGAATACATGCACATATATTTTTATATATTTCAGTAGGCAAAATTATAATAACAAAATCATATTGATCAAATCATTTACTTAATAATTCATACTTTTTGTAAAGGCGGTGCTCTGTTTTCACATACTTTTGTTGACAAAATTATAATAACAAAATAAGATATTATTGTGATCTTCTATAGAACATTCAAAATTTAAAAGTATTAGTTTAGTTTAAAAATAATAACAAATATAAATATAAGATTTTGATTTAATAACCCTCTACATTATTTTTCGTAACAAAAATTGAATATCCTAAGAAATCAACGTGCATCTAATGAAAAATCAAAATCATTATCTATTATTTGAAAAGTTTAATCCATTTAATAAAAACCAAAAAGATTTATATAAAATCATGTTCATCCTAAATAACTAATGAAAAAGTTAAATACTCGGATCCTTATATAAAAAAAACATCACAACACACATGAGTATCAAACAAATCAAACCATAACTCAAAGTGCGGGCATGTCAATTCTACCAATCCATTTATCTAAATCGAATATGGCTAAAATGAAACTTGAAGGTTGTATAGACTTCAATCGTGAGTGTAATGAAGCAATATTTTATCGCTACACTGAATTTCCAAACAAATAGGTTTGGCATCAAAAAATTAAGAAGTGGCTCCCTCGTAACGGAAAAAATAATGTTCCCTAAGATATCAGCCTTCCAGAAGTCTCAGAATAATATGGTGAGTTTTTCTACCTTAAAATGTTGCTAAATGTTCAGAGAAGACCAGTGTGTTTCAAAAAATAATAGGACAGTAAACAGAGTTTTATATTCAACCTTCGCTGAAACATGTCTTGCAATAGGGTTAATTGAAGCACTTGATGCTTAAGTGGAGATGGTCTTGCAATTATTTGTAGAGTCTACTTGGTAAAATTATAAGTAGAAAAATCGCACATATGAGTAGATCGAGACCAACAATGACGGAATCCTTGAAGAAATAATGCTTTAAATTGAGGAAGATTATAGGAAGACAAAGAAAATAAAAAACGTTTGTTCAAAAAAAAACAAGATAGAAAAGATAAAATTTGCATCTTGATCCGCAAATCCGAAGAAGGTAACCAGCTATCCACGGGTTTGATCCATTTGACCATCTAACATAACGGGTCAAGTTTTACAAAGCCTGATCATGGAAAATAAGTTTTGTATTTTCCAAATTTGATTATTATTTTTCAAGTCTATCTCAAAATATAAATGAACCTTTTGTTATAACAAAATGTTTAGTTAAAATTATATCATATTTTACTATTTAATTTAAAGTTTTATAATTCAAAACACCTACCTTGAGTTTCATATCCTACAAAAATTAAAATATTTAAAACAGATTTAGATATTATATTTAGATAATTACATTTTTAAAATTGTTCATGTTTGCACATGCGTGCGGGCCAATATCCTAGTTATAATGTAAACAGACTGTTTTGCTGCAAGAATAGTTTAACACATTTGAACCAAAAAAGAAAGAGAAAATTTCAACTAGAGCATAGCAGATTCTAATATTAGAAAAAAATATATATATCCTATACAATCATTGATACGTGGGAGTATCCATAATAGTGGATTTCTTAAAACAAGTATCTTCACAATTATTTTATTATAATTTAAGATATATAATTAAATTTTAATATTTAAAAGAAATTATGCCAATCAAAACAAGACAACTGTATAAATGAGTCTCTTAAAAGCTTAAGATCAGTTCTTATTTAAGAGATTTTAGAATTTTTTCTCTCATATTTCTTCTAACTTTTTATTTTTTTCTTTTTTTTAATACTAAGATACTCTCCTCAATAAACCCCATTGCAACATGTCTATCACAAAATTTAATTGGAAGCAAGAAGATATTGAAGTCAGAAGATAGAAAAGAAAACAAGGTTTCATTTCACGTTGGTCTTCTTGAATGGTGAATGTTATTTTACCCTTTTATTTGTTAATCGTGAATGATTTACACAAACAATTTTTTTTACCATGCATGAACTGTTTATAGAAAGTATATGACCATATCGGATCATGGTTTTCGAATTCGAGTTGCACAACTAGTTGTCATGTTCGCCAAACTTCTCAACGTATCATCATTCTTATCATACATAGATAACATGCGACAAACTGACATATTATACATATTTCCTACATGCATGTTGCAGACGACGTATTCTTTATCTATCTTCTAAAAATGAAAATGATATATTATAACTTGAGCTTATTCATTCTTGCCACTTGTATAATTAATAAGACTTGCTGGTCAAAACTGTGTATATTATAGGGCTAGACTGCCACATTTGTTAAACCTCAGATGATATCATTTTTTGGGGTAGAGTAGATCCAAACTTTTCGGCAATTACTAGACTACAAAACGTAAAATTATACGACATGAACGTGTCCGTAATTATATATTACGTGTTTGTGACAAAACCCGCTTGAAATAAATGCGTTTGTTTTCATATGAACGTGAATTCAAAAATCTGTTGCCGCGGATATTTTGCTAAGAATATATTAAAATATAGACGTGGATGATATATGTATTTAAGTTTCTGGACTCAACCGAACATGACCAAACACAAGAAGACAAAAGCATCGACGACGCTTACGAAATATTTTATCTTAGTTCTTTATTTTTAATTTATTTTAGTTCAACGTTCGAAGCATCCAATGAAAACTTTTCTTTCAAACTATAATTATAATTTGTAAATCATAAGCGTGGGTCATCATCGCATATGGGAAACTATACTACATTACAAAACCGAAATCCAGCGTTGTCTTCGTTCATCATCGTATATGAGAAATAGCTAAAAACCACACCGAATTTGACATTAGAAAGTCATATATATGTAGCTGTCATAAGAGATTACATGAAATACGACAGCTCGAATATAAATTGTACCACTGATTATATTTGATTGAAAATATCATTATTTGTGTTTACCAGCTAATCTTTAATACAGATTTAATAACTTCACTTACACCATTATTAATTGCTTATAATCTCAAAAATCTATATATACTTTCTATTTTATTTTATTTTTAAAATATAACCCCTCTAGCTTTGGTAGCCAAAACGTATAAGAAATGAAGTTTAAAAATCGTTTTCGATCTGAAACCACTACATTCGATTATTGTTTTTCAATGAATATTAAATGTGGGGCGTTTCGGTTCGGCTTCGAGATCTTTGGGTTGACTCAGATTCTAAATAAGAAAACAAATCAACCAAGAAATAACTATTTGATATCATATTACCAAAAAAAACTATTTGATATCGATGACTAAAAGTATTAATGTTTTATGATATTTCTCTTTTAAGAATAACTTTTGTTCTTTGCCCAAAAAAAAAAAAATTAATAATAACTTTTGTTTTCTTTTTCTTGAATATCTTCAGAGAGCGGAAGAGACGTATAAAACAATATCACGATAACAAAAATGTTTTCAAAATTAATGTCTTTACCACCTTTACGTCATTCATAAGATCTATGAACTTTTTTTTCTTTCAAAATTATCAATGTGTACGAAATTCTTTTACATTTTGTGTTTTATTCGTCGACATATCTGTGAAAAAGACGAAAAATCCAAAAGTAAACGGTAAACAGTAAATAAAATATCAGCATTTCTGTCTTTTCTTCTGAAATAAACAATGATTCAACAACTTCAGTTTGTTTAAAAAAGTCTAAACAGGTTAAAAAAAAGAATATAAATTAGTTGTTAGAAAGGAAAAAGACGAAGTAATGAATTGAAAACAGAAGAATTGCATGTGATTGCGAAGAAAGTATATATATAAAATAAAAGAAGAGGTGATGTGGTTGTCACGTAACGCATCGAGACAAAAGGAGAGAGAGTGGCCCTCTTCTGTTTCTGCCTTTAATTTGTCCCTCTCCCTGCCGTACTTCTCGTTGCTAAGTATCAAAATCTTGAATTAATTATCTTATTAAAATATTATTTAACCTAATTTTATTTCAGTTTTAAAACAAAAATTCCTCTAATATGTATCCGATTCGTTCCCCACCCACCACACGAAGGATCGATCCTATCCTATCCGCTATGGCCATTTTATAATCAGCACCTTACATCTAACCATTGTTTTTTTTTTTGAGAGATTGTGTAAGTAGTGAGATATATTATTGTAACCATGATTAGCACGTCCATGTAATAATCGAGGTGTTAATGATAAGTATGCCTACGTTGGCTTCAATTTATTGAACTCAGATTCTAGTTTGCAAGTTGTGGGAATTAGGATTGTGACAATACGCTTTTTAAAAAATTGAGTTATTATAATAAATAAATAAATGTCCAAAAACAATAAATTAAAATAACCTAATTAAATAATAGAAAAATTTAACTGTTAAAGGGAATTGCAATACTTTAACCTCTTTAAATTCAATAAAAAGCTTCTTAGTTTTTTTTTTCTTTTTTTCTTTTTATCGCTTTCTATCACTTGTCAATGTCACATCTAACGTCCACTTCTCTTTTCCTCCATCTCTTTCTTTTTCTCTTCATTCTCATCATTCATGCATCTCTGCTGCTCATGCTCAATGTTCTTCTACATAATCTAGAGTCAACAAAAAACTGTCTTAAGGAAACCAAAAGAGAAATGAAACATAAGAGGTCCAAATCAGCAGGATGGATTTTTTAGAATCTATTAAAGAAGTCATTGCTATATATTTTCTAGAGAAACATATCATAATTTTATCAAAAAGATTATTGTGAGTGTCAATTGTTTGATAAAACTTACTACTCAAACAAAACCTATATGGATGTCGAGACGCACTGTCTCTCTTTATTGAGAAAAAATGGTTATTACGTTTCATTATTGTACCAAGAAAATAATGATTACAAACCTTTTCATTTTAGAAATTTTGGTAGGTTTGATAGTTTGTAGTTTTGAGAATTTTGATTATTAATCCCATCGATTAGTAAAATTTGGAATGATCTTCTAACGGTTAAAAAGGGTTACGTAAAACTACAGATATGTGTGGAGATATGAAAAATAAGCTAAAATTATCAAGCCCATTAATCATAATTATGACTAATGAACCCATTAATCATAATTATGACTAATGAACCCATTAATCATAATTATGACTAATGAGCCCATTAATAAGGCTTCCTAAGAATGTCATAATTCATTCTCTATAAGAAAAAGAAGACTTTGTGTGTATGGCTTAGGAGCTACCATGCTTATCATCAAGGACATAAATGTAAAGGGTTGGTTTTGTGCATATTATGTTTCCGTAGACGTTGCATTGGTGGGAGCCTCTAGCTTCATAGATACTGTTTTACGATTCTCCACTTCATATTCGATATATAGAGATAAGGAGATATTATTTGCAGTTTACTTTGCGAGACAAGGAGATATTATTTGCATATTACTTTTCGTTGTACTTATGGGGAAGCCTTTGAACATCTGCTTCACAGCAGGAATCTTATGATCTTGAAAAGGAATATTCAATAAGGGAGAAAGACAAAATCCTAATAATTATTGACACATGTCAAAAGTATTTCAAATTTACAAATATTTAATTATATTGCTTAACAAAACTTTTCTAAATTGGTCCCAAGCTAACACAAATTTTATGTTAAAAATGTGTGTTTAACCCTTTCTAAAAGTAACATTTATCTATTTCAAATTCTGATATGTATGTATGATGAAACATATTTAGCTGTTATGTTGAAAAAGACTTATTTGTTATATTGTTGAAAATGAAATTGAAAAACATACCAAATTTGTACAAGCGTGTCTTGTGAGAAAAGGGAAACCATATTGAAAGGAGACCATACACTCAAATGGGCTTTTTGTCTATAAATTTGGATTTTGGACTACTTATGCCGCCCATCTACGGTTGGTGTAGGCCCAACATGATCAAACAGCAAACTATACTTAATTTTACCATAATACCCTTAGCTTCTTCCTCCTAGAATCTTCACAATTTCATTCTCCATTAATCACTCCTAGAATCCCTAGGGTTTGCTTTTACCTTCTTCCGACAATCAGACTCACGAAAGGAACAACAATCGGAGAAGAGATCACAAAGGGGAAGATGAGTTACGAATGTAACGGAGATGGCGTCGCTGTAGCCACCGATGACAACAACAACAACGAGGATTTCATAGCTCTGGAAAGCTCGCCTTTTAAGCCTCTTGGTGGCGAAGACGGCCACGAAGACTCTAAGTCTCGGGTATGTACACTCGATCTTCATATGTTTTATTCGTTCGATTCAGTGGCTTTCTCGTTTGTGCTCTGTTAAAGACGAGTAATGAAAGAGTGTTCTCTCTCTGGGTTGTTTATTTAGGATCCATGGATTCCAAATTTGTCTTTCTCCTTCTTCTTTCTGTTATAATTTAGTACCAATTTCTAGGTTCTGGCTTTTCGGTTCTTGAAAAAAAAATGGCTTGAAGCTGTGCTCTGATTTTAGACTCATGATTTAGTTGAGGAGGGTATAAATATGTTCACAGTTCTTCCGGCATTATATATATTCATAAGTACTTATGGAGAAGCCATTGGCATTTGTGTCACTGCAGGATTCTCATGATATTGAAAAGGAATCCTCAAGAAGCAGGGAGAAAGACGGAGACAATGATCGACATCGTGAGAAAGACCGTGAAAGGGAGAAGAGCAGAGATAGAGATAGGGAGAAGAGCAGAGATAGAGATAGAGAGAAGAGCAGAGATAGAGATAGGGAACGAGATCGACATCGTAGGGATCGTCATAGGGACCGTAGCAGGGAACGTGAGAGGGATGACGTGGATGATGATGATCATCGCAGAAGTCGAGACCGTGACAGGTACTGATGTGTCTCAGTGTTACAATTGTTTGTTTTGGTTTAAGATTGTTTCATTCTTAAGTTGATGGTGTGGTGTCATCATTTACTGACAGGAGGAGGTCTCGCGATCGTGAGAGAGAGGAGAGACACAGGCGCCGTTCACGCTCTCGTTCAAGGAGCCGCTCTGAACGTAGGTCAAGATCAGAACATAGGCACAAGTCTGAACATAGATCACGTTCACGCTCACGGTCACGGTCACGCTCAAAGAGGTACATAGATTCTCTGTTTATGCGAATTTATATTTGTGGCGGTATTGGAATGTGTTATGATATCAAGTCAAATAATCCCTTTAGTCTTTGATGTCTTTGTTTGTTGATGCACGATATAATTTTATATTTATATAAATAGTAATAACAAGGTCTTTTGCTGAGAAAATTGTTCCTCCCTTATATGACCTGTACTGATCTGGAGAATATCTTTACTACTCCTGATGATATAGTGTGATCTGGGTTTTCGATGTTTATGTGTCATGTGTGTGTTTCTTAGTTATAGTTCATGCATTTTTTTTCCGTAATCGTTTCTACTGTTGTCTGAGTCTGACCACTTAATTTATTCGCTTTCAGCAAGAGGAAAAGTGGATTTGATATGGCGCCCCCTTCTTCTGCAATGTTAGCTGCTACTGCTGTTGCTGCAGCAGGTATATGCTTCGACATCTACTCAACGTCATTATATTTCTTAACTGCTTGTTGTTTTTGATTTTACGTAGTTTGGAAAGATCATAATCAATTACACGGTGTGAATTTGGTAAGCTGCATTTTGATTGCAGAGGAATTTATTTCCTTGCTATCTTCATAGGTTGTTTTACTATTTTTGTTCCCTGGTGAAGTGGTTCTGGAACTGAGAGACTTTTTTGTTTTTTTGTCTTTTTTGGTGGTTTTTGTTTGTTTTTGTGTCTTTTGTTGTTGTAGTAAGAAGGCTATGTTGGGTTAGTTGCCCCACTGTGCTGACAATGAGCCGACCTCTCTAGCTTTAATTGTACAAAGGAGGAATCAGTGCAACGGTTGTCATGGGTATTCTTCGTCTTCGACTGGCAACTATATGCCTGTTTTCTAGCCTTACAAATTTTGACAACTTGAAAGCATATATTACGTTACACTTTTCGTTTTTGAATATTTATAAAGATGTTGATTTACTCTGTACTTGTGGATCGGAAGGTGTTATGATCTGTTGCTTTGTACTTGTTGATTGGTGTGCTCATCCGGTAAAATAATAATTACTGACGAACGCTCTATGGTGTGTACTACTTTGTTCTAGCAGGTCAGGTTCCTACTTTGCCAACTACTGCTACTATTCCAGGGATGTTCCCCAACATATTCTCAATGGTCCCTGGTCAGGTATCAATCATTTTTTTGCGTCTCTTAGTGAATACTGATATGTCTGTGTATATATTCCTCATTTCTCTTGTTTTTATGCGAACATACTCATAACTTTTCAAATTTTATTCTCATGTAGCAACCGGGTGCGCTACCTGTAATGCCAATTCAGGCAATGACTCAGCAGGTAAGATCTATCAGTCTATGTTATTCTTTGGTTCTTCACCTTTTGTCTAGATTTCTGTCTCAATAATGTGTTATGGTCGCAGGCAACGAGGCATGCTCGGCGAGTTTATGTTGGTGGTCTTCCACCAACTGCAAATGAACAGGTTTGTTACTTTTTAATTTTGTTTTAAGGGTTTGTGACTATTATTTTGGTAATGTCCATTGTATGACTTCTGAGATCGGGTTTCCATGTTCTAGTCGGTGGCAACATTCTTTAGCCAAGTGATGTCAGCCATTGGTGGAAACACTGCTGGGCCAGGTACTGAGAAATTCATTGTTTTTTTTTGTGTCAGGGTTTGCGACATTTCTAGACGAAAACTCATCCTCTTTTTCTGTGTGATTTCATTCATAGGTGATGCCGTGGTCAATGTTTATATAAACCATGAGAAGAAGTTTGCTTTTGTAGAGATGAGATCTGTTGAGGAGGCTAGTAACGCAATGGCATTAGACGGCATTATATTAGAGGTGATTCATTATCTCTTTGGCAATTTTACATGTTGAGTCTTTATGTATTGTGAGTATTGATGTCATAGCTTTGATCATCTCTAGGGAGTTCCTGTGAAGGTGAGGAGGCCAACTGACTATAACCCCTCACTTGCCGCAGCTCTCGGTCCGAGCCAGCCTAATCCTAATCTCAACTTGGCGGCTGTTGGATTGTCTTCAGGGTCTACCGGTGGGCTTGAGGGTCCCGACCGCATTTTTGTGGGCGGGCTTCCTTATTACTTCACAGAGGAACAGATCAGAGAGCTCTTGGAGTCTTTTGGGCCCCTAAGAGGTTTCAACTTGGTTAAAGACAGAGAAACTGGAAACTCGAAGGGATACGCGTTTTGTGTCTACCAAGATCCTTCAGTAACAGATATCGCATGTGCGGCTCTAAACGGGATTAAGATGGGAGATAAGACACTTACAGTTAGGCGTGCGATTCAGGGTACGATTCAACCTAAACCTGAGCAAGAAGAAATATTGCTTCACGCCCAGCAGCAGATTGCTTTGCAGGTGAATGGTTTACTCGATTGATTGTCTGTTTACTTCATGCTTTGTCTCTACAAATCTTTTGTCTTTTACTATATTTAAACTTTCTGAAGATCACTGATTAGGTGTGTCTCGAACTTTTCTAACAGAGACTTATGCTACAACCAGGAGGCACTCCCACCAAGATTGTCTGTTTGACTCAAGTGGTTACAGCTGATGATCTTGGAGACGATGAAGAATATGAAGACATAATGGATGACATGAGACAAGAAGGTGGAAAATTCGGTAAGCAATTCAATAATGTCCCTGACATTCTCTGCGATTTGCACACTACTCAGGGCTTTTACATGGTCCAAGCTTTTTTGATAAATTCATTCTTGTGTGCAGGTAACTTGGTGAATGTTGTGATTCCGAGGCCTAATCCGGATCATGATCCAACACCAGGAGTTGGCAAGGTTCGGTTTCGAACTCTGAGAAACATCTTTTTTTAAACTTATGAACACATCATTCCTCAAATGATGAGATAATTTTATATTAATGCAGGTTTTCTTAGAGTATGCTGATGTGGAAGACTCAGCAAAGGCTAGATCGGGGATGAACGGAAGAAAGTTTGGAGGAAACCAAGTGGTTGCTGTGTATTACCCCGAGAACAAGTATGCACAAGGCGACTATGAAGGCTGATGTTTCTTTTACTTTTGGACCTCTTAGCAATAAGGTTTGAATCTTTTAGTTTGTCTCTACTAAATATGACTGTAGTAGTATCAAACTATCAATCTAGTAGTAATTGTCGAGGCACACTTTCATTAAAACACTTAAGTTATAAATTTATTATTGTCCTTCCTTCTACCGGTTAGAAATACCAAACAACATCAGATTATGTACGAAACCTATATATGTGCGATATGAGTTTGGCTCCGGCTGACCTGACCGGAAAACGGAGGAAGGCGGTGACAGATTTGAACAGAAATATTCACCGAACCATGGATTGCGTACGAAAGAATCGAAGTTGAACTATCTTAACTAAATTAATAAGAAGGAGCTCTATAAACAACTAGCACCAGTGGTCTAGTGGTAGAATAGTACCCTGCCACGGTACAGACCCGGGTTCGATTCCCGGCTGGTGCAAGTGAGCTGTGAGGAAAATGGCTTAGCGTTGGTTGGGTCCTTTGCAATCTTCTGTTTTATCGGATGTGATAAAGCCTCGTCTGAGCTCCTTTAATTTTTACCTTCACAAGAGATAACTTAATTACAGAGAAGGACAAACTACAGTGATAGGAAATATCTATTACTTTACGTTTGTAATTTTGCTCCGGCTATATATATATATTCCCCGAGATCTAATAGCTGAGATTATGGAACTGATCACGAAAGATAGGTGGCATTTGTGGTGATGAAAAATCAACACTTACAATCCGATCTTTGTCCGGACACAGACCATCACTCAAGTCCCTCCAAAAGAGATATACTCACATTGATTGTTTTTATTGTTCATATCCTCTCTCTAGGCCCTACCTGTATGTGTATAAATATTATATTTACATGGAAACGAATCGGATCCACCACACGTTCTACATCGCTATCAGAGCAACAAATCTCCCAACAAAACACAATACGAGTGTCCTCAAATCCTCTTTCTCTATCTCTGTTGGAATCAGAAGCCCTAACCGACAATGCCGTACCAAACAAGGAAGAAACCAAGACAGAGTCAACATTCAAGAAGTACCAAGACCTAATCGCCACGTCTCCTCAGGCTAAAGGCTGGTTTGCAAATGCTCCGCTGATCTGCTACGGTGGTCACTGGATGATAAAGCCTCTCCTTGTAGGTTGCCTTTACGCGCAAGAATTCTTCAAAGCGCGACCCGTTGACATATTCGTTTGTAGCTCCCCAAAGGCAGGTACCACTTGGCTCAAAGCTTTAACTTTCGCCATCGCTAATCGATCTCGTTCCGATTATTCTTCCAACCCTCTCCTAAAACGCAACCCTCACGAGCTTGTTCCTTTCATTGAGATCGAATTCGCTTTCTTCCCTCAAGTTGACGTTCTCAATGACAAAGGGAACACTCTGTTTGCGACTCATCTCCCACACGGATTATTACCCGAATCCATTTCGAAATCGGGTTGTAAGATGGTTTACATATGGAGAGACCCAAAGGACACTTTCATCTCCATGTGGACTTTCTTCCAAAAGCAAAACTTAGGGCACGGCCCTCTCAATAGTCTTGAGGAGTGTTTTGATATGTTCTGTCGAGGTTTCTCTGGGTGCGGTCCTTATCTAGACCATGTCATGTCGTACTGGAAAGCTTACCAAGAGAATCCAGATCAGATTTTGCTCCTCAAGTACGAGACGATGAGAGCTGATCCTCTGCCTTACGTGAGAAGATTGGCTGAGTTTATGGGTTATGGATTCACATCTGAGGAAGAGAATGAAGGGGTTGTTGAGGAAGTGATGAATCTTTGCAGCTTCGAGACGTTGAAGAACCTTGAAGCCAACAAAGGGGAGAAACACAGAGAGGACGTTCCTATTAGTGCTTATCCGAATAGCGCTTATTTCAGGAAAGGTAAGGTCGGAGATTGGCAGAATTATCTGACTCCGGAGATGGCAGCTCGAATCGATAGACTGATGGAAGAGAAATTCAAGGGCACCGGTTTGCTGGAGCATGGTACATGACTGATCCTTCTATGCTTAGTTGGGAGCAGTAGTTTTGCTCCTTTTCTAAGTTTGATTCTAACGGAATAAATGTTGCCTATGTCTTATCCAAATGTACTGCTTAATGATAAAATAAAAGATGTACTGATTTTTTTTTTAAAGTAAAAAAGTTGGCATTGTAACTCTGCAAGACTGTAACTTATGATTTTTAGCCAAATGTGTCTTTGCGGAAGAGACAGTCACGTGTTTACTGAAAGCAACCGATTTTGCACTTTTCTTTACGATTTTCTCAATGTTTATTTTACTTTTTGTCCCTTATATTATATATATTACTAATAAAAACTAGGTATATAATTCGCGCTACGCACGAATCTATTTTAGTAGGTTGGTTTAATTTTCTTTTTAGCTACTATTTTTAAAATTATTAAAACTATAATATATTTATAGAAACTTTCATTTATATAAGAGAATTTAATATATAACGTGTAATTTTCTCTTATTTCTCTTTATAAATTTTTAAAATTATTAAGTAAAATAATAACAATGACACCTGTTGAATTATCCAACCTTGACGTACATATACATTTGATTTAGAGAAAGATTTTATTGCTAAGATTTTGGTATTATTTTCTGTTTTCCATAGAATTTCTATAGTTTTTTTTTTCTTGAAGGTTTATGTGTTCAAATATTTAATCTTTTTATTGAAAAAAGTCTTATTGATGTTGTGTACCACTGCATATATAATTCATGATTCATGTTGATTCACATTTAATTTTGTTAGGAAGCTGCAATGATCATGCAAAACCATTTTTTTCTTCTCCACCATGTCTTCCAAGAGTTTTATGTTATATTTTTATTTAGTTTTCATTGATATCTATTTTTTTTTTACAGTTTAATATTTGATAATTTTAGTTTTCTAACATGTAGGATCAGTGGTGTGGAGTCTTTGCATTATTTTTTACTGTTTTTATCTTTTGTGTGCAATATGTATGCTTTGATTTGAATATTTCATCTACATATAGCAATTTGAGCTTGATTCATAACTATGTTATACTTTATTATTTAAATAGAATTTTAAAATGTGTTATTGATGTTGATTCAGATATAAGTAGCGGCTATGTATAGAAATCATATTTTACTACTTGCTAAATATCGAGTGTAAAGTTATTATAGTGTTTTTAAATCACAAAAATCAAGAAGTGTATTAATTATTGTATATCTAAAAATATATTTGGTTTAAAAACTCATGTAAACCTATTGCAACTTTAGATAGTTATTCATTGTTGATACTAATACTTTAGAAATTAGAAACTTTTTGAAACTAATTTCAAATTAATTTTGTTTTTTTTTGTTGTTGTTGATAATTTACATCTTTTGATAGTAATTTTTTTATTTTTTTAATTTATTTTAATTATTTTACTTTTTTGTATGTTTGATATACTTATGATTTATATTCTTTTTGTTGAGCTCTTTTGTTGTTGATTCTCCAAATAGGTATCATAGACATCACATTAATTTCTTTTATACCAATACTTTTTCTTTGTTAAAATTTATTTTGTATATTAATTTTAATTCTATTTATAATGCTGATTTAATATGTTCTAACTTTTGAATTTAAATCTTAGTTGGACTTTTTCTTAAAAGCTTATAACATCATTTGTTTAGTTTTGTTAAGTTTTTTTTATATTGATTTTCAAAATCTTTAGCCCAAGTTATTATTCTTTTATACAAATTTTTCTTTTGTTCATTTGCCTCTTTGGATAATGATTCCTATTTTATTTTGAAACATAAATTTATAACATGTTGAAAGGTAAAAAAAACTTATAATAAAAACATGTTTAATTTCTCATCATATCATAATAGCTTTAAAACAGTTTGGTTTCATATCTAAAAACACAATAGGAAATTAAAGTATGGTGATGTATATGCATGTGAGTGTATTTATCATGTCAAATAGTCAGTAGTTACTTCAATATTTTTGTCGGAAAAAACCGGGTGGAAGAAGTGGAGTGCAAAAATAATATTTCTACATAATGCAATTTAAAGTATGGTGTTAAGAGTTAAATAAATCTTATTATCTCATTTATTTCAGGATTCATCATATTTTTATTAACAATAGTAAAATAATTGTAATTATATGTTTAAAATTATGAACTTTGAAACGTTTTTAGATTCATAATTGTGGCTAGGAGCACAACATGTTTAACAACACTTTTCATTATTTTTCTTTGAAAATTGGCGGAAAAGTAACACGAACAATTGACCCAGTGTTTAGAAAATATAAAAGGGTGGTAAGTAAATATAGATTGTATTCCAGATTAGAATATATATATAAATGACGTGTTGGGAAAACATGCTTATCTTTTTAATTGCAAGTGAACATTTATTTTATTATGACTTCCACCACTAGCGATATCATTAGCTTAACTGGACAAAAAAAGTTCTCGTCGTTGATGATGATCATTTTTCTAATAACATCTAGACAATATATACATTATTATATATTTATATATGTGCAATGCATTATAAGTTATAATTTTTCTAATCTATGCTATAAGTTTAAATTTTTACGATATTGATTTTTTAGTTAGTTAGACTTTTTTTACATTAAAGTTCCATTTAAGTTCAAGACATACTATATTTTGGTGTTTTTAATATAATTTTATTTTTTATTTGTTACTTAAGCTTTTTTTTTTCCATCTATAAAACGAAATTAATATTTTTTTTTAATTTTCTTGTCAATTAATTTAAAAGTTAGAATTTTCCTAACCTACATTATAAGTTTGAGCTTTTATAGTATTGGTTTTTTTTTGTTTGTTTATCTCTTTTGAAAACAAATTTCCATTTTATTTTGAAAGATACTATTTTTTTAACATAATTTTCTTTTATATTTGTTAGTTAAGCCTTTTTTATTTTAAGTTTTTCATCTATAAAACAAAATTAATTTTTTAAATTTTAAAGATGCTATATTTTAGTTATTTTAACACAATTTTTTTTTCTATTTGTTACTTAAGCTTTTTTTATTTTGATTTTTCCATCTATAAAGCAAAATCAATGTTTTATATTTTCTGGTCAATTAATTCAGAAGTTAGAATTTTCTTTATCTATATTATAACTTTGAACTTTTAAGATATTGGTTTTTTTTGTTAATTTAACTCTTTTGAAAAACAATTTCTATTTTATTTGTAAGACAACTATTTTTTTGGGTTTTATACATAAATTTCTCTTTTTGTTACTTAAACTTTTTTATTTGGTGAGTAAAACAAAATTAAGGCTTTTACCATACTTAACATTTTTTTGTTTAATAAAATTTGCTGATGTGGACCAATCATATAGAGTTTTTTAATCATATGTGGACGTCTTCAATGCACTATGCCATTAACTTTTATATATATTATGATTAATGTTATATACCTCTAAATTAGGGATGGGCATAATTCCTGTCCCGTTCTGTCCCGTCCAGTCCCGTCCTAGTCCTAGTCTCAAATTCCCATATCATATGAATATATACTCGTATATGGTATAACATATTGATTCCCATTTGGAAACTGGAATTCTCAGAGTCTCATTTGTTGGCTTCAAGGTTCTTCAACGTCTCGAAGAATTAGATACGTTTTAAAATATATTACCAAAAGTGATATTTATTATTTATTAATATATTTTATATAAGTGAAAGTTATATTAGTTTTTAATTTTTATTTTATTCTATATGACTATTAAACTATATGTGGTTTTGTGTTCACTATTCAATGGATTAGGTTGCTCTTTTAAAAAAGAATTAAAAGTTTTAAATTTTAACAATTAAGTTAAGTTTGATTTCTTTTATTTTTGTTTAACTTATAATTTTATATGACATGTTATTATTACTTATTAGGATTTAGGAGGTGAATAATGGATGAATATAAATTGAGATTTAGTTTTTTTTTTACAATTATCAATTTGTCATTTTTTTTTTTGGAATTCCTATCCTGTCTCGTCCTATTTCCGTCATATCCCAAATTTTAATTGAAACGCATATGGGAAAGTTATTTTGATTCCCATATTCCTGTCCCGTTCCCATTCTCACAAAGTCCAGTCCCAAATTCCCATTTGGCCACCTCTACCTCTAAGGATGCACACATCCTCTACATATTAATTGAAAATGTAGTTTAATGAAAACTTATGATTTGTTTTAATTTGATTGGTTAAAATCATTTATCTAACCTAATTAAATGTGACTGTGTAATGATGATATAATTATGACATGACATTTGCTAACACATGTGGATTTTAACATAGAAAAGTAATTTTTTGTGTTTAATTTCTTTTAGTTCAAATAATTGTCATATTTCCATTAAAAAAAATAATGATCATATTTAATTGTTATAAACTGTAAACCTATATATACATTTATAATTAGTTAGCTGTTAGAGATGAGATTCGTACCGTCTCTAACAAGCCCGATATGAATTTTAGTTGGCCCATCTAACAAGTTCCAGGTCGGCAACATAAAAAGAAAGCTTCCATTTATCAAGCGACCCGGCAAAAAAGGAAACTCCTTACCGACAAGAGTTTCCTATTCCGAACAGGTTGAAGACCGACCTGATCGGCTATAAATATAGGAAGTCCTCGACTTCTCAATCCATCCAAAAATAATCAATCGACCTAGAGCAAAACTTAGCGATCAGACTGTTCTAGTTCTCAATTTACTTCCTTAAACAGTTTTAGGTCGGCATTCTTCTTCCGACGACCTAAAACACCGTTGTATTCAACCAAGCTCCGGCTTTTTCTAATAAAAGATCTCTTTAAAACCCTCAAACCCTAGTTCTTCTATAAGTCGGACTTGAGTTTTTACAGTTGGCGCCGTCTGTGGGGAATAAAAGAGCAATCTTTGACTTAGAACGGAGTTCGAAGATGGTTGAAACACCGATCAACACTACCGACCTCACCGGAGGAGCCTCCGATCCGACAAGAAACATTCAAGATCCGATCGTCGACCCAGCCACGGGGCTTCCGGTGGCCCACCAGACCGATCAGGAAGA